GCAGGAAGCTCGTGCGCATCCTTGGGGCTGCTCGTGTCTCGGGCTGCGCTCTCCCGAAGGCAGCGCTGCCACGCTGCCCGTTACTCTTCTGCCGGAAGGTGGCTGGATTGCTCCCTAAGCACAGAGACCGACGGCAGCAGAGACGGCAAGGGGAAGGAACTGTTCCTGCCCTGGGAGGAAGGGGGCTTACGGAAGGCAATTCCCCACCCGCGTCTCCTCTACTCCCTCAAAAAACGCTTCTCCGTGGAGGAGGAGGGGCTGTGGGAAGCCACGCGCTGAGAGGCACCCGGTGCAGTGCCCGCGGGATGGGATCCTGTCACTCGAGCGATGCGAGGATGCCGAGCGAGCAGCGACCCCGTCCTTAGCATGAGGGTGAGAGGTGGCCTGGCGGGAAGCTCCGCATGCTCCCATCACTCCTTGGCTGCGAGCCCTGTTGTCTGCCACCCCGCGCTCTGCTGTCTGGAAAGGCAAGGGGGTAGCCAAGGGGCTAACGGGGGCTGAAGTTCAGTCGGGTGACAGCAATTCCCAAAATATGCTACAAGAAGACCCAAAGCGGGGGCTGCCCGAGCTGCTGACCACCAGAGTGACCATCCGTAGCGGCGATGTGGGCAGGTGTCGCTTCAGCCGATCCACGGGCGCTTCCATGAGTCGGCAGAACACCAAAACGCATCACATGCGCCGCTGCGGTCCTGCACGGAAGCGCTAAAACCGCCCGTTACCCAAGCAAAATGCCAGGACCCATCCCCTGCTGCGGTATTCCACTGCCTTTCCCCGCGCGCAGGAGGCGTGGGAGGAGCCGTGCGGCGCAGGGCAGCCACGCTCTGTGCCCCCGGAGCTACACCCCGCGTAAGCCGGGAGCGGGACTGAAGTTGCAGAGACGGACGTCGACATTCTACGGAGCTGAGCCACGGAGCTCGCTCCTCTGCCCGCGCGGCGCAGGGGGAGAAGCTGCCCTTTCGTTTCGTGGCTCCCTGCGACCTAGACAGGAGGGAGGGGACCAGCGAGGAGAAGGCTGGCACGCTCTCCCGCAACGCGGCAGCGCAGGCACGAGCAGCGGCGGGTTTCCTGATCGTACGGCCGGTGCAAAGTCGGGCTCGGTATTTCCTCTTCAAGGGGAGACTTTTCAAACTTCTGAGCAGGTTTTTTTTTTTCCTCCACGGGACTCTGTTCTAGTGCACAGTCTCTCTGTAAAGCCACGTGATTTCCAGCACAGGGGAAGAGCTCGAGGTTTCTTCGAGGTGGCGAGTGCAATCAGCTTGTATGGTAATTAGCCACTGAGGAGGTTAATTGCATAGGGGGCCTGGTTTGGTTTTGCTCAAGCTTCCTCTAGTGCTACAGTACTAATAAATTACCCTGGAGAGAAATAAATAAAGAGGTTGGCATCTCCCAGACACCACGCTGGAAATCCAGAGGGTTTCGGAACAGCTGCCCCGTGGTCCTGGGAAGGTACTTTTGGCAAAAAGAGCCCCTGTCATACGACTGTCTGTACAGGAGCGACGCACTGTGCGGGAGAGCTGGCTCTCTCCGAGGATGAGGTGGAACGGTTGGTGATTTCTCTCTGCAGCTCCTCCACTTTCTTCTGCAGCTCAGCCCGCTTGGCGAGCAGCTCCTTGTAGCGACTGTGGACAGGTTCCTGCGAGGAAACACGCACGTGAGCGCGGGGAGGCGAGGACGGAGGGGGAAGCACGAGCCCCAGAACGCTCCCATCGCCCCGGCGCGCAGCCATGAGGGAAGGGGGGGAGGCTGTCCCCACCCCGGGGGTAAACCAGCAGCTGCTCTGGCTTTGGCACGTTCCGTTTGTCCAACGTGCACAGTGCTACGGTGGGTAAACTGTCTGCTTCGGAGGGTGGTTATGGAGCTCTCACCTGTCTGGGGGACACCGGCCTTGGCATCTCAGCCTGGACAGAATGTCAGGGCTTTCGGGAAAACAACCCAAGAGAGATTTATCTAAATATCACAGAATGGTTCGGGTTGGAAGGGACCTTAAAGTCCCTCTAGTTCCAACCCCCCTGCCATGGGCAGGGACACCTTGCACTAGACCAGGTTGCTCAAAGCCTCGTCCAGCCTGGCCTTGAACACTTCCAGGGATGGGGCATCCACAGC